ACTTTAGCGTGTCGTCATTTTTATTATCATATTTATGTTCTAATCACCTCGGAATGTTCTACTAATTACACCAAAAAACAGATTGTACTTTTCCAACGTTTAAATTTTCCATGCAATTTCCTTACTGCATAATTATTCGGATTACTATAATCACACTGAGCGGAATGGTTTGCATGTGATATTGGGGATGATGGGGTTCTGGTTTAGGTGGGGGACGAGGGTGTTGGTTGCTCGCTTACTTGATGGTGGCGAGAAAATCGATTTTCCTCGCTCCTTTTTTTTTTTATCCTTCTTCCACATTTGTTTCCACCTCATCTTTGCATGTGTGTGCATTTTTTGTACATACATTCTTACGCCGACTACGACCCTGAGAGCAAAGCGAGCATTTGTTTTCGCGAGTCGCATTTGTTTAGCTTTACAGCAGACGCAGTTTAAACAAAAAAAAAATGTTTCGTTTCGCATTCGTTTCATTTTTGTTTTATTGCAATTGTTTTAAAATCAATAACGAACTTTGTAATATTCACTTAAAAACGTCATCAAAAAAAAACAAATGCAATTTACAATTGTTTTTTTATTGACGTTTCGTTTACGTCAATCAAATTTTGTTTGCTAAACGTCTGTTATTTTTTGCAATTAACGAGTGTGTGTGAAAGAGAAAGAAAAAGAGAGCGAGAGAATTGAACTTTCGCCGTCATTGAAAAAGGCTCTGGTAATCTGATTAGCGCGGAGTTCAATTATTTCGATGCAATTTTTGACGTTAATTTGATTTTGTTTTTTTCTTTTCGAAAGTTGTTGACAGGTGTCAATTGTACGTGCGTGATCGTATTGGATCATCTGAGAGGAGAGTAGTTCCAAAATGAGCAGAGTTGACGGTCCAATTGGAACGACCGCCGAGCAGAAGACGACAACATCATCATCATTCTCGATCGACTCCACAAAGTTATCGCGTCGCGTCGTCTCCGTGGGGTTCGCGAAAGAGAAACACTTGCCGGCTTCCCGCCAAAACCAGTGTCGTCAACATTGAACCGTGAGATATAAACAAAAGAAGAAACAAACAAACAAACAAAGTGCGCTTGTTTTTGTGTGTGTTGTGTGTCGCGACGCGTAAACAAACGAAATTTGAGGAATTCGGCCACGCTGATTGGACAATAGCTCATATAAGCAACGCACACACTATTCGCATAGAAGCGAACGAGAGAGTGAGAGAGAGGGAGCTATAGTGGTGAGTCATAGAGTGGGAGAGACGCGCTTAATATAAATAGAACCGCAACAGTCTTTCACATTTCAGTACGTCTCGACGAGTGTACGAGAGAAGTCCAATCCTTCAGTGTTCTTCGACAGCGCAGAGCGAAGTACTTCCACCGGAAATTCACGACTTTCATTCATTTGTTTCAACTTTTTTTTTTGGTTCCAATTCCGACCACTTATCATTGTATGGGTGAGTAATCTTTTGTTTATTTTTCTTTTTTACGTATACATTTTTCTTTCGGTTACGCAACTTAAATTACTCGTAGATTTTGAAATTTTCCATTTTAACAGTTCTCTAAAAATACATTTCTTAATTTCGTCTTAATTTTCGATCCACGTCTGCAAAAAAATAATCAAATTTGACGTTTCTCAAAAAACAAAATTTTTGACGTTCGTCTTTGAACATATGCTTTTTGACGTGCATTGTTTTCTGTGCTATCGTTGACGTGAGCCCGCTCTGATTGCACAATCGTCCTTGCGGAGTTTCCGCCGTTCGGGTTCTCCAGAATGCACGTGTGAGTCACGTGCGTTGTTGAAGAGTGACGTGCGCGCAATTCCCCATCCGGTGGCCCCAATCGACTTCGTAACACCAAAGTACGTACGTACGTACACCTGACTGACTGACTGACTGATGGGGAAAAACGTGCGGAGGACTTTGTTCGCTTCTGTTGTTGTTTTATCATCGAAATGATAGTCTCACAATTGTCCTTATCTATTATATAAATATATAAACATTATATAGAGTGTGCGTGTGTATTGTTCGACTCGATTTTGTTTTTATCTAAATTGGTCACTATAATTTTTTCGGGACCGACGTCCTTCAATTGCTTGTCAGTTTCATTTGTTTCTATTAAAATGATAAAAATGTATTTCCATTTAGATATCCGTGATTTGATGATTTTCATTTCTACAAAATCATTAATTGTTGTTTGTTTGCAAAATGTATTTGGAATTTCGATGAATTCGACGATTTTTTTTTCTTCTTGCAACACGAAAGGGAAAATAAATTTGTAGAGGGCGATGGAACGAACGGACGAAACAAAATCCAGCAAGCACGTGCGTCATTTCCGCTTTTGCCAACTAATTTTAGACTTTGTCCTTTTCTCACCGTTTTCTTCAAACATATTCGTTCTTTCTTTCTTTGGCCGAAGCCAGATTGAATGGACTCTGCTCGAAACATTGAGGGGGGTGTTAGGAAGGAAGGTTTCATCTATTTATAGCGATTTTGCAATTATCGCCTCTCCTTTACTCCTTTTTCAACATCGAACGCACAAAGGCCGCTGCACGCTAGCCAAGAAATTAAAGATCACCATGGCGATTAATCATCATCGTCATAGCAATATTAATAATTTAGTTATTTTTGTTTTTTGTATATGTTTTCAATCATACGTGTTTTGTTTAAGTTTAGTTTCGTTGAAATTTATTTTCGGATCAGAAACCGAATTGCTAATGCGCTCTTCGCAGCGGTTTTATAAATAAGTTTAGAGCGTAATTAATGGAAAGTTATTTATATCGAATTGCACTGGCATATGGCGGAGTTTGAATATTCAAATATGTCGATGTAGGCAACCCAAATTGACTAATTCACGCCAAAAATAGTTTTGTTTATGTTTGTTATTTGCAATTTTTTGATGGGGGATTTTAATTGAATGACGTTGGTAGTTTAAGCGTGGCGTCAGTTTGAGTTTGCGTGTGTTGTAATTTGTGTGAGTATTTATTAATTTATTGTTTGTTTGTTTATTTTGTAGAGCGTGAGAAACCGTTGTCAATATCATCGATTCTGTGTACAGCTGATAAAGATGCTGTACACGGTAGATGGAACGAAGAAGGGTCGAAGGGGTTGTTGTCCCCGGTCAGTTCGTCGTCGGAGGAGGACGCCTTCGTCCCATCCGTGGGTAGATGGGGCTGCGAATGGCCAAGTTGACTCGAAAACGATTCACTTTGGGCCCCAGACGGCTCCCTGCTTATAGGGACCACAGATACCGGAAACGTTTCCGGCGACGACAGCGACATCAGCAGCAGCAGCAGCAGTACCAACAGCATCACCAGTACCAACAGCAACACCACTGCAAACAACAACAACAACAACAATGATGATGATGATGTGCAGGTGGTGGTTGTCGACGATTTCGAGTCTCTGCTCGATCTGACCCAGGTTGACGGGGTGTGGCCCATCGAGCACCCCTTGCCGTTGCCCGCATGGCACGGTCAGGCCAAGAGGCCCGTAACATTCAGCAGCATGGCAGATTTCGACGAGTTCGTGGCAGAGGTCGAATCGCATCTGCAGCGTCTCCTCGAGGAGCACAACTACAACACAGTCGGCAATTTTGTGGCGCTCTACGATAGTTTCAGGAAGAGCTCGTGCACGAGTTTCACCGAATTCTATCAGAAGTATGTATAATTTCTCTTTATTTTGAATATGAATTAATAATTTTGAATTATTCAGTTATGCACCACCGATAACACCTTCGCATCACACGTGCGTCGGTCTGGCGCTCGAGCTGTGGTTGAAGCTGAAACACCTTTCGTCGCACCTGTATCTGGTGTCGTGCGAGGAGAGCATCGGCGTGTTCGACGAGTACGCCGGTCTGTACGACAGCATCTACGAGTCGATTTCTGTGCTGGAGAAGGAGCACGTCCTGCTTGCTGTCAAGGTGGACGTGTGCGGTCGTGCAGGAATCCTGCTCTGCGATCCCGGTTACCACATCGGCAGAGTCGTCGTCGTAATGCCCGATGAATTGCACCCGCACACCGGTTGGTTCGTGCAATCGCAGGAGCAGAACGTTCGCAAGGAGTACAATTACGTCTTCTCCTCCCGCAATCCCAACTTCATCGAGTGGTACGACCGCACCACCAGGTCTGCATCCTCGAAGGTGGAGGAGGTCCATTCGCTGATCTACATCAAGAAGCCCTTCCTCACGGCCGTCGACGTCACCGAGCGTCGCAACCTCGTGTACAGTTTCAGGAGTCTCTTATCGCGCGACCAGAAAGGTCACCTCCTCGCCGGCCTCTACTTCAAGCTGAAAGAAAACTCTGACGAGTTCACCATCTTCTATCACGACGACGGGAAGCAACGCATCAAGCTGAATTTCGCGACATTCACAAATGCGGACCGGGTAAGCGCACATCATGTTGCATTTTTATGTATATTAATTGAATGAATGAATGACGACTTGCAGATCAACGAGCAGCTCCTGAACATCGTCAACTTGTGCAACGACCAGCTGAATTTGAAACGCGGCGAACTTATGCAACTGATCAAGCGTTTAGGAGATATCATGCAGGACAAGGCCTACGTCCGGCAAGTCCTGGACACGAACACCTGCATCAACAATATGACGGAAGTTAACTAGCATAGAGCAACATTTCGATCCTGCAACACCCACCAGAATACACCCACATCCACCCGCATCAGACTCTACCACATCCCCGTTGCTTTGCTCCTCTTCATTCTACCCTTAGCACTTCTTTCCCTAACCTAATCCAACTCTGAAATAGACCAGTCGCATCCTAATTTTAATGATTGATCATCGCACCAATTCATTCTCCTTTTTCAACATTTTCTCTCTCTCTCTGTTCTTTAATTCTTGGGTTGCACTATTATATTTGCAAGCTGTTCAGGAAAAAGGATAAATTCTAATGGAGCGATATTCACACATACAAACACTCTTCACATCCTTCCTATATTAAGGATGCTTCTAGAAACCACATATATAAAAGTGCTGAATGCTAGTTTGAATTTAGAGAGATTAAGCTTAAGAAAATACAGAGCATCCGCTTCCATCCAATCCACTTACATTTCTCCTATTCTTAGCAGAAATTACATTTATTTCCACTAAAATTCTTCGCTTTTAAAATGTATTTGTTCTAATTGATTTATTACTTGTATTGAATAAATATACTTTTATTTTCGTCTCAATAAGTGTTGTTTTTATTAATTACATATGAATCATCCCCTTTTTACAGATAGATACCTTTTGATGATACTAGGTAAGTTATAATTAACTATTTTCTTCTTTTCTTCCCCAAACATTCCGCACATTCCAGAAACGTCAAAACGCAAAAATTCCAAACA